ATCCTTTAGTTTGCATAAGATTGATTGAAGTGATTTTATTGGTTTGTGTGCTACACCTATTCCAAAAGGCTTCGACAATGTTGTTATAGTTTCTGATATGCCTTTTATGTATGGTAGGATGATGCGTTTGTTGGTTTCTGTACTTTATTTCATATTTAATGATGCGTTTGACTGGTATTTTTTGATAAAATCGATTGTTTAGCCGTTCTTTCATTTTCCGCGCTGCAAGTGTGTTACAGTGTGTCATCGCCCTCTTGAATAACGTTTGTACGCGGTTGATTTTGTGAGCTCTTGGGTTGTTGCTAGAGTAATTGAGAAATCGATCTGTGTGGGTCGGCTTTCAATATACTTGAGTCTTCAGTTTTCTGTATCAGTTCTGGTGACTAATACATCCAAGAACGATAGTTTGTTGATTGACTCCTATTCCATTGTGAGTTTTATGTCATCGAAGACGTTGTTGATCAGATTGTAGGCGTATTCCAGTCCGTCTTTTTTGATGAATATGAATATGTAGTTCACATAACGAATCCAAAGTTTTGTTTTGATCACTGATAGGATCGAGGATTTCAGTCTCTGCATTACTGCTTGTGTGATAATCGTTAATATGATATGTGTATATGTACACTACTAACTAATAGTAGGTAGTATCTTTCGAATTTTAATAATTCTCGTCAAATGTACTGAAAATAACCAGTTTCCTATACAGAGAGTGGATCGTAAAACTCTTTTTATTTCGAATCACTAAAAATTCACATTGCTGTTTCTGGGGGTAATATAAGTTTTGACAAAAGGTACTTGGAAATATTGGTCTTAAAATTAGTAATGTATAGTAAAGCTTCTTAATCCTCATGGTTCTCAGAAAGAATGTTTTACCATCACATATATACTGACAAATACACAAGCATCCATAAAAAATAGTCTTAGAATTAAAGGAATCGAATGACAGATGAATAATAGTAATAAAACGCAATTCGCAAATTCTATGAAACGTTCATTACCTACTTACTTACGTACACACGCCTGTTACTCCCAATGGAGCGTAGGCCGCCGACCTGAATTCTCCAACCCACTCACTATGTCGTGCGCCTTCCTTTCTAGTTCCACCCAATTGTTGTTCATCCTTCTAATGACTGTCTCCATTTTCCGGCGTAATGTGTTATTTGGTCTTCCTCTTCTCCTTTGGCATGGAGGATCCCATGTGGGGACTTACCTTTTGACGCACTTGGGTAATTTCCTCAATGTGTGTCCTATCCACTTCCAGCGCTTCTTCCTGATTTATTCCTCCGCTGGAATCTGGTTTTTCCTCTCTCACAGAAGGCTGTTGTTGATGGTATTCGACCAGTGAATATGGAGTTTTTTGCGTAAACAACTGTTTATAAATACCTGTACCCTCGTGACGATGGATGTAGTAGTTCTCCTCGTATCCGCCCAATACAGTAGAACTGTCTTGAGATTCGTATTGAAAATTCTAACCTTGGTGTTGGTTGACAATTGTTTTGAATTCCAGATGTTGTTCAGTTGTAAATATGCTGATGTTGCTTTGCCGATCCTCGTCCTCACATCTGCATCTGATCCACCGTGTTCATCGACGATGCTGCCCAGATATGTAAAGATTTTCACAAAGAAACATACTTAAGTGGACAATATTGGATTCGGTTTGATCCTCGTCTGAAAATTGTTTTTGCAGTTAAGTGACTTATAATTTTGGTGAAGTAATGTCCTCGGAGCAAGATGGTTTGGTCGTGGAGCTTTCATTGTTCTTCTGAACTGTTTTTGCATAGGAGATATGTCAATGACACATTCATTTATTTAAGGTATCCTCAAATTTCTTAATAATTCTTATCCATCGTTTAAACTTACAGTAGAACAAGAATGTAATTCAAAACTCCATTTCTTTGATATCCTACCTACTGGAAGAAATGATGGATCAGTTACAAAGATCGAATGATATGAGGCATTAACAAATTTTCATATTTGAGTCTCAATAACTATAAGATGAAATCCCATTCATTCATTACACCCACTATATCGTAAAATTTATTCACAGGACCGTCCATTTTAAAATTCGTCTTCCTAGAAAATGGGTAGCCTTTGATATTTATAGAGTGAAATATGGACAATAAAAAAACACTCATCATTCAGAAGAACCTAATTTTTAGGGGAGATAGTGCTCGTGATGTACTACAAAGCAATATTGAAATACCTTTAATGCGCCAAATCCCATAGTATTATTATATAGTCATTTTCGTATACGCTCTCAATAGAAAGATAAGTTGCTAAGAAAGAGCGCTACAATGTGCGTTTACCTACTCACCTTCCCTTGCAAAGCTAAGTATTTAGGTCGTCTATCCAAGTCACTCTCTCTTCGCATTCGAGACCCCCTGCCCCTGTGAGTTAAATAAGGTCAAAATAAGTAAATTACATAATCAGTTCTTCAAAATGTGTTGGAAACAGGTTGTTCAGCTTCGAATTCATCGCTTGACATCATTGACAAAATCCAGTCAGATATCCCAAGAAGTCTACGCCTTGACCACCTTCACATTACAGAAGCATTGGTTATCTATAATTTTATCCATGAGTTATACGTATAAATAGGGTCTTTCGTTCTTTCAAGTGATCTAAATAAAACCATTAGATCATAAAGCAATTTATTCAGAGAAAGAATGTTTTTCAACCATTTCATTTAGAAGGCTCTTCATATATATATGGTTGAAAGACCCATATACTTGTAAGTCAATTCAATATAAGCTATCTTAGATTCTCACACCTTTGAGATATACCGATAAATATCAATGGTCAATTATATTTTCTACATAGGTTGTTTTATGATTAGGAACTTCTCCTGACCCCTTTTCCAACAGCTGAAAATACTTGAGAAGTAACTCTGTGAACCATCGTCATTAAAATTATGTAAATTAACTAATAATGAACACCTGAAGCATCAAACTGTAGATTCAAAGGATATTTAGAATGGTTTGATGGATGGTGTTTATCGACCATCCAGAAAGATGCATGAATGGTAATTAGGATGCCATAGTATATTAGTAAGTATTTTTATGTTGGTTTGTTCTCTGAGTTGGATGGTTTGGTCGTGGAGCTTTCATCGTCCTTCTGAACGACATCATCAGCACAAACTTCGGGTAGAAGTGAAGTGTTTGAATTTCTCCACATGTAATTCACAGCTTGTCCTCTGGAGCTAACATGAAAACCACTCACAAAAAGGTCGTATGTGACCAACCTCAAGCTGTTGTCCCTTGGGTATTGAGATCACGTTCTTGGGTCCCTAAGACCACCTTTAACCTAATTTCCTTTACAAGTACCTCTAGAAGACCTTTCTCCTAACTATTCAATCAAGTCTTTCTGCCCGGGGAAAATATTTCAATCAATAGCGGAAAAATCTAATACTATTCTAGATTTCTTTAATATTTTTTAACATTTAAACAACTTACATGTTCTACGGTGTATCTGTTATTCGAAAAAATACTACGTGATTCATAATATTTCACTTAATATTCAGCTGTTAACCATCACAATCTTAAAATGACATATAATAACCGCTGGATGCAGGCTCAGTGGTTTAGAGGTTAAGCGCGAGACTGATAGGCCCTGCTTTCGAGTCTTGCGAGGCGGAATCATGGATGTGCACTGTTGAGGAGTTTTACAATAGGATGAAACAGCCATCCAGTGTTTCCAGGTTTTCAATGGTTGTCTAGCTTTAATTGAATCATTAGTTGGGAGAAAGGTCTTCTAGAGGTACTTGAAAAGGAAATTAGGTTAAAGGTGGTCTTAGGGACCCAAGAACGTGATCTCAATGCCCAAGGGACAACAGCTTGAGGTTGGTCACATACGACCTTTTTGTGAGTGGTTTTCATGTTAGCTCCATAATTGCTAGGACCTTACCGCCGGAAGCAGAAATCCATATGATTATGTGAGATATGCATTTTTAGGATCGACCTTTTCTAATTCTACCCTTCCTTTGTGGTAAGGCAGGATCGCTGTTATGTTGGTTGTTTGAAGGAAACACTTTATTGCCGTCACACCTTTGTATAGTCAGAAGTACGGCTTCGCCTATGGACCTTGGGTTTACTGCTTTTAGTCTTACCACTCTTCAACAGACCTGTCTGGAATGGTAGGACCTTGAGGAACGATTGTTTTGGTCAGTATAGCTTGAGTGGTTCTTCATGATAGGTAAGCCTGACCACCACGTCAAGGTAGAAGCAACAGTCGGGATGCGAATGGTCTGGCTCAAAGTTAATAACGTGGGACTCTTGTTTTTCTTATACGTATGTGATCATTAAGAGATCATGTTCTTACGTTTTAGTTTAACCTGTCCATTTTTATCTGCTAAAAATAACTCTATAACTGATTCTGTAACCTGGCTGGTAGTAATCTTTTGATTGTTCATACATATAAATCTAAAATATGATATCCTGAACTTCAAGCAAATTTTTCGATAATACAGTGACAGAATGAGAATGATTGAAACTAGTGTCATATATTTCTTCACATATTTACCATAAGCTTTATCTTCTCATTGTGTTCTCTAGACATTAACACCGTTGGATGCCGACTCAGTGGTCCATCGATTAAGTGGTCTAGCGCGAGACTGGTAGGTCCTGGTTTCGAATCTCGTGGGTGCAGGATCGTGGATGCACACTGTTCAGGAGTACCACAATAGGACAAAACGGCCGTTCAATGCTTCCAGGCCTTCCTTGGTGATCTAGCTTCAATTGACTCATGATTTCAACTATGAAAATCTTCACAAAACCCTTTCTTATCTAAATTGATCAAAGAGATAAACTGTTTTCATAAATTTTACCTTCATTCAATCTAGATGCTACCAAGTATTATTCTATTGAAACTTCCATTCAGTTAAAGATTAGCATGAACCAATTATAATCTACTATTTATAATGTTGTTCTTCATGTCCTTATGATCTAGTAACACATGATGAAACATGGAAATTAGTTTGTTTTTTTTGTTCATTCTACCATACATACTAAAGGTGTCAGTTTGTAGTGAAGTATTAAAATAAACACCTAAAACTACCTTTCAGTTTAATTTTATATTGAATATACATTTTGACAACAAACATCAGTTTATATATACAGGATATTCCCCCAGCCACATTGCCACATTGTCATTTTTAACCTAAAGCACACATATATACATGGAAATTTCTTAGACTTATTACTATACAACCTTAATGTTGACGTGTCTTCCCTACAAAAAAATACTAATCAATATGTACTACACAATGTTTCGTGGATAGAATAGATACCTTAACTACAAGAATATGTAAAAGGGTTAAAAAATTGAAATACAGTTAAGTGATTATTTGTTTTTTGGGGGGGGGTGATTTCTTTCATTCACATCTAAGTAGAATTCTGATTCAATCTGTAACGAAGAAGAAGAAGAAGAAGAGAAGGAAGAAGAAGACGAAGAATGTTCTCTTTATCAAATTAACTTAAATGTCATATGGAATAGTTATGAATATGAATCTCTATATTATAACTAGTTTCCTATTATTGGATCCTGTATTATCATCTAGATTGAATGCTTTTCAAAATGTCAACAATGTTCTTATTCCATTCATTGAAAATACTATCATCAATAACTCTATTGCTGCTGATATTGATTTACATAATGGCAAAACAACAATATGTTCGTCTGATAATCCAGTTGTACATACATCTGTTGGGATTTATTGTGGAGTACGTGAAATTGTTCATTGGCCTAATGGACCAGCATCAATGGTTGATGTTTATTATGGTAATTTAAAAAAAAAATCATTTAGACAATCTTTTCTTTAACCTGGGTTTAATAAATTGTTGTTAAGGTAATAATATATATTACTTACTTACTTACTTAATTACTTACTTACTTACTTACTTACTTCCTTACTTACTTACTTACTTACTTACTTACTTACTTACTTACTTACTTACTTACTTACTTACTTACTTACTTACTTACTTACTTACTTACTTACTTACTTACTTACTTACTTACTTACTTATATACTTACTTACTTACTTACTTACTTATTTACTTACTTACTTACTTACTTACTTACTTACTTACTTACTTACTTACTTACTTACTTACTTACTTACTTACTTACTTACTTACTTACTTACTTACTTACTTACTTACTTACTTACTTACTTACTTACTTACTTACTTACTTACTTACTTACTTACTTACTTACTTACTTACTTACTTACTTACTTACTTACTTACTTATTCCTGTTACTCTCAATGGAGCATAGGCCACCTACCAGCATTATCCAACCCACTATGTCTTGGGCCTTCATTTTTAATTCCATCCAAAATGGAATGATATAAACTTCATCAAAATGATTTCGATGCATGTAACTTAAATTTAGTAACCATTTGTCAGATAAAATCTATGTCACATCATTAGCATTATATTCCGCTATCTCTTTAACTGTCATTATCAAACGGTTTTAAATGAAACCACATCATGACAACAAATCTGACACAATAGGGTATCAATCAAGTTTGGCATACCATTCGATTCATAATGATTCATAATGACTCTTTTTTTGTAAATTCAGGGATCTGAATGAAGCACCAGCGGAAGTTATTCTATAGTCATTCACATCTAACTTCATTTATGTATTATACTTAATCTGTTTAGTCCTTCAGATAGATAGTTTTATTTAATATTTTAGAGAGTATTTAATAATAAATCTACATGTTGATTACCAATTACACAATTTAAATGTAAAACAAAATCGTTACCGAATTATCCCCAAGCAAACTAATTTACAAACATGGACAGTGACTAGTGGTGGAATCCAGGATGCGCGTTTCATCCTATTTTAGATTGGTCAGCTGCATGTACCTGCATCTCAGAGTTCATGTTCACTCTGAGACTTGAACCCAGTACCTTTCGCTTCAATTGCCATCGCATTATCCACTTAGCTACTGAGTCCTGATAGCCACCTGCTTGTGCAATGGGGTGAAGTTTAAATTTACTTAGTATTACTTGTTTGAATATTCCCATTGATGTTTAGGACTGCAACTGGTCAGTCTCTAATTGGCATATATGCATACTGTGTGTATTGCCTCGATATAGCCTTGTTTCACAAGCATTGTAAGCAAACATGGATAGTGGCTAGCAGTGGAATCCAGGAAGCACGTTTCGTCCTATATGGGACTCGCCAGCCGGATGTACCTGCATCCCAGAGTTGATGTTCATTCTGGGACTCGAACCCAGTACTTTACGCTTCAAACGCCAACGCGTTATCCACTTATCTACTGATTCCTCATAGCCACTTGCTTGTGAATTAAGGCTATATGCTAATAAGAAACTCACCAGTTGCAGTCCTAAACATCAATGGGAAGATTCAAACATACAATGCTAAGTGAATTTAATTTACAAACAGTTACTCGTTAAACTACAGAGATTATTATTATTAACACGAATGATGCTGTTGTTGTTGTTGTTGTCGGAAATGTTTTAGAATACACATGTCACAAAAAAACCAGTAGATAGACATTTCATTCTGATCTCATTACAAGTCACACTTGAATTAAGCAGTATATTAAAAAAAAAACTTAGTCTCTATGATAAATTGAAAAAGTGTAGTATGATGAAATGTATTCTGCAGCAATTTGGAAGACTCTTCCGGTCTCCCACATTGTTCGGACATTCCATGTACCTATAAAAATTGTCGCTCTGGTTGTAAAAAGGTGCATCGGCCTCATGACTTCCGAAGGAACTCGGCTTTCATCATGAGACGTCATAATTATTCCTTCTACTCCCAGGGCAGAGTTTGAAAGGTTTGAATGATTTTTTCTGGTTAGCGTTTTTTTAGCGAGTTGATTTTCTACGGGATGGGGTCGCTAACCTTATGCCCAACCCTCCTCCTTTACCCGGGATTGGGACCGGCAGTAACCCCAGAGGAGCTACAGGCGGAGTATGTATTAGAACTATGTAATAGATTTACTTACTTACTTACGCCTGTTACCCCTCGTCGAGGAGCATAGGCCGCTCACCAGCATTCTACATCCAACCCTGTCCTGAGCCTTCCTTTCCAGTTCTTTCCAGTTATTATTCATCCTTTTCATATCTGCTCCTATTTCCCAGCGTAATGTGTTCTTTGGCCTTTGGTGATCTAGCTTCAATGTAATAGATTTGGCAAATAGATTTCGAACGAATAGTCTTACCATAAATTTACTCTTTAAGATAGTTTAGTTATATGGGAAAGATAAGTGTCATATTGGGAAAATTATAACATAACGGTGGACAAGATTTGTAGCTCACGTGGATGATTTTGATGTAGGTTTGTTGTCTGAGCTGTATGGTTTGGTCGTGGAGCTTTCATCGTCCTTCTGAGCTATATCATCAGCATAAACTTCGGGAATTTTTTAATTCATGATAAACTTCATCATTTATTGATATTAGATGGAGATCCTATGAAGATCAAGAGTTTCTAGCCAACTTTTTCTTTGAAGTTAAATACTCCTTAAAACAAAATAAACAAAAAAAACTTGTACAATACCGTATAAGAATTGAACCCAGAAACTATCTTTATAAGTAATATGATTAATGGATAAACGGTATTGTGAAACTTGGTTATACTGAATCCAATTTTTTGGGGTTTTTTATTAGAAGGGGGTTTTGTGGAGATGTTAGTATTTTTATATGGTGATTGCGCACTACTGAGGAGTCCCATAATAGGATGAAACGGCCGTCCAGTGTTTCCAGGTTTTCCATGGTGATCTAGCTTTAATTGATTCATGATCTCAACTATATAAATTTTTTTTTGTGTTTTTCTTATTGAAATGTATATAGACCCCTTGATATGATGATATATAACTTTGATAGAATTTCATATATGTAGTGTGTATTTACAAATAGATATATAAACATCTGTCAAAAATTCACACCATTTTGTAAGAGCGATTTCGTTTTAGGGTAATTTATAGACACCGAATTAGTTTGTCTACACTTTTCACTGTTTTCATTCGGATAACTGTAACCGAGATCCCCCCCCCACATTTGTTGTTGAACAATAAATTCGATAATGTTGTTATTATAATTCAATGTCCCAGTTTATAGTTTTCTAGGTATCATGTATCATTCATCAATGATCTAATTCATAAACGGACATTTGTATTAATCAATAATATAATGTTTTTATTATTTCGTCGTCCATGGCAGAGTATATAATTTATATGGATTTGATAGTTCATTTCATGAGTCAGTTAAGGCTAGACGACAATGGAAAGCCTGGAAGAAATGAACGATGGTTTCATCCTAGTATGGGACTCCTCAGTGGTGAGCATCTATGATCCTACGCGTGGGATTCAAATTCAGGACCTATCTGTCTCGCATGCGAATGCCTAACCTTTACACCACTGAGCCGGCATGCAATGATGTGATTGCTTAACATCAATCAATAAACATCCATCTTTCATCCTGGATTTGACTTTGTTATTTTTGTCAAAATCACAATAGATTTCATGGTTGAATAAAACTACACAATGAATATTGTTTGAGAAATTCATGAATAACCCCAAATGTCCTGGTATGGAAGAGAGTGGTGAGAGTCAGCTTTCCCTCCCCGAACTCTCTCACATGGCCATGCGTATAAAGCCCCTACCAGAGAAGTCCTACTTACTGCCTTCTCGCGGTGGGAGTGTTGTTTACGAAATTGAGAGGACGAAAAGTAAATTTCCAACGCTTTAATCAGGTTGGTGGATAGAGGGGGAGTTGAAAAACCCCGATTCCAAACCAATGGCTTATATGAACTCTAGGATTCTGATTGAATAAATGGCGTATGAACCAATTATCGGTCACCGCCTACCATGAGACTGCATCTCCTAACGTTGCTCCAATGCATTGTGCATCAGTTCATTAGGTCGAAGGCTTCAGGTGCGGCCGTCTAAGAAAACCACGTATTTTGGTCTGTGCACCCGAGCAATATTATAGCCCACACACAAATCAAGTGTACTATGTGGCGTGTATGTATTTGGTGTCCCTTTGTACCAGTATTTATGTGTTCAAATAAATAAATAAATAGAATAACTCGTAAAATTTTCAATCACTTAAAGCAAACAGATTTAGGTTGTTATAAATTACTCCCTTATCACACCTCTAAGTACCCTACGATTGTATACTTATGTTTACGCAAACAGCACTTATTGTTTAAATCACTGAAATCTAGTTAGTGGAGACTCACAGACTTGTATCGACTGTGTATAACCATTATTATTGTTTAATTATGTTTTCACTAATGTTATATAGTTGAGATCATGAGTCAATTGAAGCTAGACTACCATGAAAAACCTGGAAACACTGGTCGACCGTTTCGTCCCATTGTGGGACTCCTCAGCTGTGTGCATCCACGATCCCGTCTCGCAAGATTCGAACCAAAGACCTACCGGTCTTGCGCCAGAGCACCTAACCGATAGACTACTGAGCCGGCATCCAACAGTGTTTTTATGCTGTCCTCCTTTAATATTTGTTAGTTTATCAAATATCAGTCTACAATATCAACAACGGGAAAATAAGAAATATCATGCTTGATGAACAAATTAGTGACTATTCCGCTTTAGTAGCTTAATAGACAACGTGTTGACGTTGAAGTCATGTTTATTGGATACGAATCTCACTATGAACATAAATACTGGGAACAAGTTCATCCAGCTACTAAGTCTTAAATGGAAAGATATATATATATCTCGAATTCCACTGGTTGCCAAAATTATTAAAAAAATCTGTTACTCTTGTAACTATATACAATATCAGGCCACAAACTCATACGGCACTGAGTCAACAGGGGCTGGTCTAAATTAAAATCTAAGTATCAATGAGGGGAAAACACAAACCTTCAAGAATTATGAACTAAAGGGTTTGTCCTTAAAAAGTGTACAAATTTTTGTATGAAACTATATTTTAAACTAAGTTAACATGGCGCCTAAAAGAGACTTGTTGAATCAAACCAGTAGGAGATACAACCAAAACAAAGAACTACACAATGACAGATTTAAGGTCACTAAGAACGAATCAACATCACGGTGCACAGGACAAGCTGTGAATTACATGTGTAGAAATTCAAACACTTCACTTCTACCCAAAGTTTGTGCTGATGATGTCGTTCAGAAGGACGATGAAAGCTCTGTGACCAAACCATCCAACTCCGAGAACAAACCTACATCAAAATCATCCACGTGAGCTACAGATCTTCTCAACCATCTCAAGACTTGTTCAATGTTTAATTATACAAATTACACAAATTAGTTTTAGTCGCATAGGTTTTCTTTGCCATAAAATGTTCTCAAGCATGAATCATTTTTTTATTGGTGATGCTCGGTAACTTAACCAGCGTAGCTTCTCCAAAAGAATTTTTTATTAACATGTATTAGTTATCATTCAGCATTCCTAACATCACCGAAATCAAGCAAAACAGAATATTAGACATGTCTAACAAGTCACAGAGACTTTAATGTACCATCCATGTAATTTGACAGTAAATCAACATTTAAAAATATACAACTTTACTCTTCACTAGTTTAGTACATGATGTTCAATATTTGGAAATTCATGATTGAAAGATTCAAAGATACCATAGCTGTTCGGGGTTTGACAACGTCTTTACCAGTAACATCTTTATATTTGAAGTATATCAACCTAGTCAAATCAGAAATCAGAAGTGAAGAGGTTCAAAGATATAATTCAAAGGTTATCGATATCTGGAGGAACGTTCGATCTAAATTGGCTAACGATTGTAAGAGATGTATTGCACAACGTACCTACTCGTGATCTTCTGCTGATGTATCACCGAGCACCTTCAACTAGATATGCCTATTAAAACTAATGTGGTCAGCATCAAATGTAGTTCAAAATGTATTTCTCTAATATATCATATAGCTCTAATAAATTGCATTTAATTATGTTGTCTGAATATATACTATAGGCTCAAATATACTCTACTTAACAGAGAGTGAATTCAGGAATGGAAACATTCTGCTTAAAATTTCATTGCAATAGCATCATTTAAGATGAAAGATACCTAATAGCATTGTGTTTTATTATGATATACTGTCAAAACACTCTGCAGGATACTAGAAATGGAGATTATGTGTGTCCTGTTTTATCAAATGTACCAATAAAGTTGATTTAACAAATGGCTTAATTATAAGCAAAGGTGGATAGTGGCTAGCAGTGGAATCCAAGATGCGCGTTTCGTCCTATTTTGGACTCTTCAGATGGATGTACCAGCATCTCAGAGTAGATGTTCATTCTGGGACTCGAACCCAGTACCTTTCGCTTCAATTGCCATCGCATTATCCACTTAGCTACTGAGTCATGATAGCCACATGCTTGTGCAATGAGGTGAAGTTTAAATTCACGTGGTGTTGTTTACTTGTATCTTCCTAAAGGATGCACATATGCTAACAAGAGACTAATCAATGGCAGTTTTAAATAACAATGGGAAAATACAAGTAAACAACACCATGTGAATTTAAATGTCTTATTTATGTCAAACTTTGCGAGAAATGACTAGGTGTCAAAAATTATGATTAATCACACATGAAAACAAATAAGTACTTCATTCTATTATCAAAGGAGTCCCATACTAGGACGAAGTAGCTGTCGAGTGCTTCCAGATTTTCCATGGTGGCCTAGCTTCAATTGAATTATAAACTCAGCTATTAAATTACTTCATTATATATTTAAAATCTTGATGAGTTAATAGATGTTTTAGGTACAGCAAAACGCAAAGTAACTCTAAAGAAATTTTAGACCATATTCAAATGGGGGCAAACTACATTTTCAGCAATTCTTTCTTTATGATTTTACAGTTTTTATGGTTGTGTGATAAAATCAGATTTGTGTAGTATGCTTCTATGAGTGTCCAGTCTTCCCTTGAATTAGTCAATTGAAGGTGTGGACATCGCTGCTTCGGGTAACAGGTTCCACGAATTGGTGACTCAGTGTGAAAACCTGTATGCCACGGGTATTTTGTTCTGTCTAGGTTTTTCTAATAGCCAGCTATATCAACTGAGATGTCCCAATCTAGCGAGAAGAAGAAGAGAGGATATATTAGATTAAAAATCATTTCTCAGTACTCTATACATCCAAATCAGATCACCTCTTAATCCGAGGTAAAACAGAATAAAGAAGTCTAGCTTTTCAAGCTTCCCTTTTTATAGTAAATCCCGGAGTTCTGGAACTGAATGAGTAGCTGTTCATTGTACTTGTTCTAGGATATCCGAGTCACCTTTTACAAAAGAGCTTGAAGCTTGAACGCAATTCTCAAGCTTAGATCTCAGTAAAGTTCTGTATACTGTAGTGAACATGGTAGTATTTAACTTTATGAATGTCCGTTTTAAAATCCAAATGGTTCTGAATCTCATAGCTGTGACCTCCCGGCAATGGGCTTTGGTCTTAAGATCATGACTCACTGTCACTCCAAGATCTTTATGAAACCGAACCACGGGTACTGGCACGTACCCTATATTATACCTATTTACTTTTGTATTCTCAAAGTGTATGTAGACACACCTTGACGCGTTGATAGGTATCATCCACTTTTTAAACCAGTAAAATCACTCTTCAAGTAAATAAATAATTTTCCATGTTATTTTAATTATTTTACTAAGGTATACGTTATGCTCAATCACCTACGGGTTCGTTACGTTTTAAAAAACCTGTAGAACCTATCCCTGAACCAAAGAAAATTTTTATGGCTGATAAATTACCTCCTACTTGTCCACAACCAAAAGATACCATGTTTCAAGTGAGTCAACTCATTAAGTTTAATTTAGAAATTTCATCTTCCACTACAATTACTTCATATTCATGTCAATCTACTGAATATTAGTAGTAGTCAAGCGGCAAATGGAAGAAGACAGTGACTCTGTGTATAGAAATGAGATTCATATGTTTTCTCAAGATTTCGCAATACTGTTCGACCCCCCCCCCAGAAAAAAATACATTGAAAAGAGTAGCTATCCGTATATTTTCGTGAAAGAATTATTTTGTTCTGTAATATATAATCGACAGTATATGCAAAGTATGAGGAGTACTAGATATTCTACTTTATTGAGCGTGAAATGCTAAATGTTTTATTTCATATATCCTTACTTACATACTTACTTACGCCTGTTAATCCCAATGGAGAATAGGCCGCCAACCACAATTCTACAACCCGCTCAATCTGTCATGCGCCTTCCTTTCTAGTTCTGTCCAACTTTTGTTCATTCTTCTCATATCTGTCTCCATTTTTCAGCGCAAAATGTTCTTTGTTCTTCCTCTGCTCCTTTGGCATTCAGGATTCCATGTGAGGGCTTGTCTTGTGATGCAATTGGGTGATTTCCTTAAAGTGTGTCCTATCCACTTCCATCGATTCTCTCTGATTTCTTCGTCCACTGGATGGAATCTGGTTTGTTGTCTCCCAACAAACCATATATCTTATAAGAGATATATATAATCCAGGAAGTTCATTGTTTGGATCAGATTCATTGATCATTGAGCAATGGTCAATGTCATTTAGCTCTCAATCCCGATATGATTCTACGGTCAAGTTGTTACATGGTCACTAGTTCACGTGACTAGACATCTTGTAAACGACATTGAAATGTTAGGCGATTAGAGATGGTCAGTCTGAAAGATTGAGGCTCCGGTTCGCTTAAGACCCCGGGTTCGTTCTCAAACTAGTGTCATTTAACAAGAAACCTTAATTCATTGTTTGTTGCCAACTATTTTTAATCAATTAACAACAGATTTAAATCTCATATGGCTAGATGAAAAGTAATAACTTGATTAATACCATTGCTAGTATATCCATAAGCAAAATATCATTGTCCAGTGAATAAGTACTATGTAATAAAATACGGCTAAATGCAGTTGGTCATTATCAATTTATAACTTGGTATCTATATGTATGGGTAAAAGTTATCATACCATATATCAGTGATGAGAAATAGAAAATCACTTCAGTAAGAAGAAAAGGATTACAATTAGTTTCATATTCAATAGTAACTTAGATATGAGGTATTCAATTCTCAAGAAACAAATTAAATCAAGATAGAGAATGAATACAATTGTGTCACCTAGACTTGTTTCTTACATTACCACCCACTGTCATCAGTTATTGATTACGGCTATTGAATGCGTTCAAACCAGATAGTCTCCATATAACAATATGTCTCAGATCAGCAAATAGTGAATTCATGAATTGATGTCAGATCTAGATTTACCTCCCCTTATGTTTTTAAGTGTGGTCTTATCATAACCAATCATAAGAACATCAAACCTTTTAGAAAATATCTCACTCAAGTCAAGTGGTACAACCTATTTAAAAGTAATTCTAAGAAACCAGTAATAACCGGTGAGAAGATCCATCTCATGGAGTAGTTTGTTGATAAAATTTCTAACCATAGACGTAAAAATAAAACTTCTGAAAAAGAGAAGTGTTCTTTAATTAGACGAGGTTTTGTGGAAATTTCAGTATTTTTCATAGTTGAAATCATGAGTAAATTGAAGCTAGACCATCATCGAAAACCTGGGAGCACTGGACGGCCGTTTTGTCCTATTGTGCGACTCCTCAGCAGTGCGCATCCACGATCCCGCACTCATGAGATTCGAACTCAGGACCTACCAGTGGACTATCAGTGGCCTATCGGTTAAGTGCTCTGGCGCGAGACTGGTAGGTCCTGGATTCCAATCTCGTGAGTGCGGGATTGTGGATTCGCACTGCTGAGAAGTCCCATAATAGGACGAAACGGCCGGCCAGTGCTTCCAGGCTTTCCATGGTTGTCTAGCTTCAACTTACTTATGATTTCTTCTTTAATTCCAACACGTCTGACAGACATGAAAATGGACATATTTCCAAGGTGAAATGTTAACTAGTTTTAGAAACCAGGTAGAAAATTAGAATATTAGCTAGTATAATCGTATCCCTTCTTGATTTTTAGAATTCAGCGGCAGCTAGAATGTGGGTACCAAATACACCACTGTCAGAAGATTGTCTTTTTTTAAATATTTGGGTACCTATAAAAGAATCGAATGGTAGTCGTCCGAATTCAAAAGAAAAACTTGCAGTTATGGTGAGTTATGTATAGTGTTATCAAATCTTCACTTAACTATTTGTTTCATTCACATTAAACTTAGTTTTCTTTTGCGTTAAGTCGTTTTTATTCGTCACTTCTTTACACCAAACAAGACTTCTGTAATTGTAGTGAACAGAACACCGGTTGGGGGATAACCGAGTGTATTTAAGCACAAATTACAAACTTTCTCACTAAATTCCGATAACCATACAGTCAATAGGTAATTTGCAAAACAACAATCAATTATCTCAATCTTAACTGTTTTTTTCTGGGAACATCAGTTCATCTTCTCTAATCCCACTGTTCATGCATTTTAATACCGATCGCTCCTCATTTCAGTTCTTTCCATATCGGTCTTCTGCCAAAATACACTCTATGTCTGACCATCGACAAATGCTACTTATATGGGTATAAGTAGATCACACTACATAATAACTACATACATTTCTAATTTACTTACTACATCACCCACTTTCTGTTTATAGATCCATCACCAAATGACCTAACACATAGTTATCCACAAATACACGTAATCTTAATGACCCTTATCACTTCTATTTTTTCTATCTATCAACATTCAATTATTGAATATTATGTTATATATCGATATTGGTCTACCTGTGGTTGCGCCACAGGATTTAGCTGTACTATTCAGTTTGTAGTGTTAAAGCCTATATGGAGTCCAGTTCTCCTGAAAACTAATGTAAAATTACCCTGGCCTATAAGGGTATTTTCTATAACTGGGATCTATATAACGATATAAATCTATATTCATAGTTCTAAGCATCTCGATAGAACTCACAAACCAAACTGATTTTGTATAATTCTGTATCAATCATTTTATTTGCTTTTTCTCGAAAGAAAAGTACTTTTAGTTGTTAAGTACTACATCAGATTTTCATATTTTTCATAGTTGAAAGCGTGAGTCAATTGAAGCTAGACCACCATAGAAAACCTGGAAGCACTGAACGGCCGTTTCGCTTTATTAAGGGACTCCCCAGCAGGGCGCATATTTTTCCTTATATGAGCTATACAAACTAAATTTTATAGACACATGTGACCGTCATTATAATAGTTTATATCAAATAGTTAGTCAGTCAATGATATAATATGACAGAACAATACATTATCACCAATCCCTCCCTTAATTATCTGATTTTGATCATCTCAAACACAAGAAATACTCATGTCATTGGTCCAAATAATTTCTGACAATTAAATATTCGAATACAGGGATAAAATTTTTATTCATCATCTTCTGAATCATGATTTGTACTAGTTTGGTGTGTGCTACTGATGTCGATACATATAAGTAGTATGTCGCGTCGATCAAAATGGAATGCTTGAAGGCAGATTGTTGAGAAGATCAAAGAAAAGAAGACAGAAACAAAGAATGACTGGTGTGGAAACAAAAGAACAACGAAGTATGAGACAACTGACTAACATTTGAAGAAGAGACTGTCAAGTTTGAGACAACTGATCAACATTTTACAAATAAAGAATTTACTGTATGGTTCTCAGATTTTAATTATTATTCTGGTTAGAGCTTTCTTAGCGAGTTAGTTTTTCTACGGGATGGGTTCGCTGACCGCATGCCCAACCTTCCTCCTTTACCCGAGCTTGGGACCGGCAGTAACTCTAGAAGAACTACAGGAGGATCACATTACGCCGGGAAATAGAAGCAGATATGAAAAGGATGAATAGCATCTAGAAAGAACTGGAAAGGATTGCCCAGGACAGAGTTGGATGGAGAATGCTGGTCGGCGGCCTATGCTCCTCCATGAGTGGTAACAGGCGTAAATAAGTAAGTTCTCAGATTTTAGTAAGATGCTCAGTAATTTGGTATTCAAATGCGTTCGATTGTTCCTATCTGTGTACCCGTCCACAACACTAGTACTATACGGAATCAAAACTATGCAACAACAGATTTGTAGATATTTGTTTTACCATAGTGTATAAGGAAAAAACTTCAGTAAACTGGTGTTATCTTCGTAATTATTTGTCCGATTACTTTTTCTCCCAAAATAGTTATGGATATACGGTGGTAGCTTTTATATGGGTACATCAACATTGAGCGTATATGATGCGAGATTTTTAGCTGCTAGACAAAATATTATTGTTGCATCAATGAATTATCGTTTGGGTTCATTCGGTTTCCTTTATATGAATACAGAAGAGGTAAGATGTCTTCATACACTGTTTGAAATAACTTATAAACACTAGTTAACTATGGATTGATATTTATGTAACTTTTATGATGGTCCATAAAAAGACAAATAGACTGTTGATGTATTTAGTATTTAATATAGAACATAATAACCTGATACAAAAAAGATACCGATTGATTGATCACTGGGTGATGATCAATCTTATGTATGTCAGGTCTTTCTTAGTGAAGATCGAATCCTATCGACCAAGTTGGAATGTGGCCACTAATGTAAGTGATTCGACATTGCGTGCGCCATGTTGAGATAAGTTGGTGGTTGGAGGTAGTCAACAGGAAATTCTGGACCTAGGTTTTGTGCTGACATGCATGACAATGATTACCACCCAATGATCAATCAATTGCAAATACATCTCAGTCGGTTGCGCCCCGGATAGCTCAGTAGTAAGGTCACAATCTGACTGTGAAGCTAGGTGACATGGGATCGAATCTGTCAGGGAGCATCAGTTTTTTTTTCAGATTACAGGTGCACCTTGCTGACGAGTGCTAAGTAGCTAGAAACCTAGCTCCATGGTTTCCTGTTGACTACCTCCAAACACCATCTTATTTTCAGTATTTATTAAGATTCTTTAAATGATATTCAATTTCAGGTAGTTCATAATGCAATCATAATAGAGATGACTAATTTAGGAAGAAAGAAGTTGTAAACTTTTAACTGATCCATTGAATCTAAAGAATAATATCATTCAACGAAACGATTTGGGTTTAATTAAAAAAGAACGTTATGGAAATATCTCTGAATCAAAACTTCGTCTAGTTGAATTAAAATTTAGTGTTGTAAATCAAATCTACTCCAAAATATACTACTTATTAGGTATTGTTAACCATGAATTTCCAAACTTTTTTCTAATTTTAGGCACCAGGTAATATGGGTCTCTGGGATCAACGTTTAGCAATGAAATGGATTAAAGATCATATTGAACATTTTGGTGGTGATCCATATCGTATCACTCTTTTTGGAGAATCAGCTGGAGCCGTAAGCGTGAGTACACATGTCGTCAGTCCATGGTCTCATTCATATTATAACAATGCAATCATGCAATCTGGTTCGATTTTTAGTAACTGGGGTCTTGCAACTAGTGAAGTATCACTAAATCAAACACAAAGGTACTAATCAGCTAACAATTAATATGTCCCTCCTTTGCACAATCGTATACATGAGGGAATAAACTATTACTTTTAAGTTTAAACAATGTGTTCATAAAATTTAGTTGTTCATGCATTTTATATTTCTCCTAAAAGCGTGTTGTTTCTGATATGTAAATTTAACCTAGGGCAACTTTAAATTCACTTAGTATTACTTGTTTCAATTTTCTCATTGATGTTTAGGACTGCAATTGATCGGTCTCTTATTGGCATATGTGCATACTGTGCATATTGCCTCGATATAACCTTATCTCACAAGCATTGTAAGAAAAGATTGATAGTGGCTAGCAATGGAATCCAGGATGCGCGTTTCGTCCTATTTGGGAGTCGTCAACTAGGTGTACCTGCATCTCAGAGCAGATGTTCATTCTGGGACTCGAACCCAGTACCTTTCGCTTCAAATGCCATCGCGTTATCCACTTAGCTACTGAGTCATGATAGCCACATGCTTGTGATATGTGGTGAAGTTTAAATTCACTTGGTGTTATTTGTTTAAATCTTCCCATTGATGTTTAGAACTGCAACTGGTCAGTCTCTTATCGTCATATGTGCATACTGTGCGTATTGCCCCGATATAGCCTTATTTTACAAGTATTCCACTACTAGTCACTACCAATCTTTGCTTACAATGCTTATGAATTAAGGTTATATCGAGGCAATACGCACAGTATGCACATATGCCAATAAGTGACTGACCAGTTGCAGTCCTAAACATCAATGGGAAGATTCAAATTAGAGCAACTTTGCCTATAAAACCAAAGAAGTAGCCAATCAGTATATTCATAAACAAAATCGATAAATCACACCGATGAATTAAACTTAATAATCTACACATTTCAAAACATTTTGTAATTGAATCAAACAATAAACTAAAGTGAACATCTAGGTATTTCAATTATTGATATTGGGGCCTCCATCAAATCCATTTCAGAGCTTTCGAACATACGGTTATTTTTTAAACTGCGCGATTCGAGAACTTTTATCTTCTTAAAATACTTTACTTTAATTATATTCTGTTTGTGATTGTGAGTATATAATGACAGAGTCATAAAGTAGGTTTGCGCCAACCACCTACTTAAATTTGTAAATACAGCAAAATGAAAGTTCATTGACATGAGAAATATGAAAAAACAAAGAATATTTAACCAAACAATCGTTTTCAACAACTTCACTTTCAGGTTCTAAAGTTATAAGTACATAATTTTATTAAGTTAAGATAATGAGTTAATTGAAGCTAGACTATCATGGAAAACCTGGAAGCACTAGACGGCCGTTTCGTCCTATTGTGGGACTTCTCAGCAGTGCGCATCCACGATCCCGCCTCGAGAGATTCTCACCCAGGACCTATCAGTCTCGAGCGTGAGCACTTAACCGATAGCCCTTTGAGCCGGCTGGCATCCAACGGTGTTAATGTCTAACTTCAAACCAACTAACGAAATTTAGCAACCATTCAGCATTGTCATCAGTGAGTTTATATCTCTCAACATACCTGGTTGAACTCCACTGGTTACTGCTTCTCACTAGAACTTCATAAGATTACTAAAATCTCCACAAAACCCCCTTCTGATAAAATCCATAATTCTTATGATATTTTACATAGGCCGAAATAGTGCATGAATCAATGAACTTACCAATTTCATATGTTAAAAATGGTAAACATTTACATCTGATACGACATTAACACTTTGAAATTGTGTTATTTTTAAATAAGAAAGTTCATTTAATAAAGATCAGAATAATTTATACTAAGGTATTCAGTCATAATCAGTATAATAGTAATATGATAAAAATGAAAAACTTGTATGAAAAAAATGTATATAAGGCTTGTTTCGCCTTGTTAATAAGAGATGTGTTGGCAAGGTACATACCTACTTACGCATGTGATCACTCGTGAAGGAGCATAGGCCACCCACCACCATTCTCCATCCAACTCTCCTACATAATCCTTTCAGTCGCTACTCATCCTTTTCATGTCTACTTCCAATTCTCGACACAGTGTGTTACTTGGTCTTCCTCCTTTCCATTTACCTTCAGCAATCCAAGTTAGGGCTTGGAGATACTAGAATCGGTTAAGTGTTTAACAATATAACCAATAACCGCTTTCCTCACATTCTTATAGAGCAACACTGGAACACGTTCTCATATTCAAGTTAAAAACAAGATATGTAAGCGAACAATTGTTTTCAATTAGATCGTCATCAGGCTTTACTCTAATATACATGAATATTTCTATGAAAATGTTAGACCAATCAAGGATATTTGAGTCTATATTAATCACAATGAAATAGAATACGTAACCAAGCATAATAGTTAAAAGTATAAGTTGATAGTGGGAAGACAGATGTACTGATAGTAGTAAGAATATATTGAATTATGATAACAAAAGTCTTATCAATAATTAAACATAAGAAATAAGAGGTCAAACATGGGTAAATAGACTTACCATGGTGATTACAAAACATTAAAATCATTACGTAATAAGAAGTATGTAAGTAATTAGATAGTGGAAAATGCAAACGGAAAGAGGTAGAAAATTACCAAAAAAAATGATAACCAAAATAAAATTTTTTACAAATAATAATAATGTTAATTATTAAGTTATGTCCGGCCATGGAAGGGATAGGGGGGTTACGAATTTCTTCTGTATACATAAATTGGGATGGAATGTACGAATTCCTATGGCTTCTGCTATATGAAGTAGACGAGAGCGAACTCCGTTGGGAAATGACGGAGGTATACGATAGATCACTTCCCACTAACAACTTATACTTTTAACTATTATGCTTGGTTACGTATTCTATTTCATTGTGATTAATATAGACTCAAATATCCTTGATTGGTCTAACATTTTCATAGAAATATTCATGTATATTAGAGTAAAGCCTGATGACGATCTAATTGAAAACAATACTGTTCGCTTACATATGTTGTTCTAATTTTCACAATGGGAATCTTTAATATTTTAAAAACAAGAGCTGGCCACTTCTAGCAGCCACTGAGTGCAGTCTACTTTCTCTTGTGGAGAAAGATACACAAGCTTTATCTGAATGTTAGGTGGCTGAAGGCAACCGGAAGAAAATTATATCACCTCACCCATACTTAAGTCTACTTATGCTTAATTTTGTCAAGCCCCTCAGTTAACTCATTTAACAGACAATGTTATTCGAAGAGTAATATTTGTCTACGTCTTTGCGTTATTATTATCATCATATCTGTATGAATACATATATATGCTTAATTACGTGTTTCAGCCTACACGCACATCCCTCTTATTAGCTTGAATGCTTGCTGTTTAAATCGCTCAATAATTCAGTCACCCTCCCATACATATGCTCTTGAATTTAATCAATTTACTCGATTCTTTATTCAATTCTGAATTCGTCTGTGTTTCTACTTGTTTTCTCTCTCACATCATTTCTGCCTGAATTCTCTTTGTGTATCTGTGGCTCAGTGATCTGCGCTGTTCAGTAATAAACTGTTATCTTCTGAAACTTATACATCGTCAGGGGTTATTTAATAACGGTTATCTGGATGATTGATATACGAAGTCTTAGGAAGTATCTCGAAGATAATCCATTACAAAGTTATGGGTCTCGGTTTCTACTGGTTTGCACTTGCCAACAATGTTTGTCTATAATAATGAGGGAATTAATTATGGTAAAGTTATATTTGCTGAGCCAGATGCTTAGTCGTAAAGCCTGCATTCTCTTTCAAGACACGGTCATCAGAACAAACATTAGACAGAATCTCTCTACATACAACTAATAGATTGATATGTGGAATTTGATTTAAACTGGTTTTTATTGTCCCTTATTCTGTTATTATCTGCATGCTTACTATTATTTCATTTCCCTTTGACCTTATTCTTGACCTTGCAGTTTCTATGACTTAACTAATTTGTTGACAAATTAAATGTTTACTGATTCCTGATTGACCTGGGTCACAAGTTTCTGGTCCCTTTTTGTATCCCCTCTATCTGAGATTTCAATCTTACCAGTCGAACACGTTCTTCAGATCGTTCATATATGTCAATGTAAGCGTAAATACACCGAAGCATTTGACAGTTAGTTGGTAATTATCCAGAGATGAAATACACTAGAAAACTTACTTTTAAACCACTCAGCATAGATTAGAAAAATCCTCACTGAAGGAACTAATGATAGAATCTTATAACGAGACTCGCCTATACATACCAATTAGCACTGGACATACATTTAAGGTTAAACGTTGGTTGCCTTCAACAAACAAACATGTTTTATTGTTGAAAGAGTGATTCAATTGAAGCTAGACCACCATGGAGAACCTAGAAGCACTGGACGGCCGTTTTGTCCTATGATGGGACTCCTCAGCATTGCGCATCCACGATCCTGAATGTTTTAGTAATCCATGATCTTTAAAAAATAGAAACGAATGATCTTTAGTTATTAAATTACTTTTTTCCTCTTTAATGATACTTATTATAGGTTTGCCAAAATTCTTGGCTGTGGATATCGTTCATCAAATGATCAAATTAAATGTTTACGTTCAAAGTCAATTACAGAAATTTTAGATGCTCATGATACAATGTATGATCCAGCTAGTTATTTCTCTGTACCCTTTCCACCTGTATTAGATAATAATTTCTTTCCATATGAAAATAGTCAATCTTTTCGTCAATTAAAATATCTTAAACCATCAGGAGCTTTAATGTTTGGCATAAATAAAAATGAAGGTAGTTACTTTTTATTATATGCTTTTGTATCAAATTCAAAATGGATGAAAAATTTGACTGATTTACCAATAACAAATCGAATGGATTATTTAAGATGTCTTCGACAAGTTCTTGACCTTGATGATGATGATGAACGACCGGAATTCACGGAACCATTGATACGTTATACAGATTTTGAATATCAAACTTATCAACAACTGGTGAGTTACATTAACATGTAAAATATTATGATTACATAAGGATTACTAGTTGAAGGTTTTCTTAAACATTCATGTATTAGGCTTCCAGACATGAAATATGCAGATTGTGATTTTTAGAATTCGTAGAACATGTCCAAGCCAACGAAGTCGATGTTTCAAGATGGTGACACCAATTGAATTATCGTCTCTGCGCCCGAACACACGATGCCGAACCTCTGCATTACTAACATGATGTTGTCACTGGATGTCAGCAATCCTTCGGAGACAACGATGATCGAACACAGAGAGACGTCTAACATCCTCAAATCGGAGAGGCCAGGTTTCACAAGCATAGGGCAAAACTGCTCTCACCGACGCGTTGTAGATCCGACCTTTTACAGCCAGACTAACATCCAACGTCATTTCCTAATTTCCTCTTCAATTAGAAGCTAGTTAGTTTTCTCCCATAATAGGCTTTTGATGATGGTATCCAACCAATGGACATTGAGTATCTTGAGTAGACAATTGTTTAGAAATACTTGTACATGTTTGTTGATGGTGGCAATAGTCGTTCAAGTTTCAGCTCCACATGAGTTAACTGTCTCGAAGTTCGTATTGAAGATTATGACTTTGATATTGATTAACAGTTGTTTTGAGTTCCATATGTTGTCCAATTGTAGGAATGCTGCCCTTGCTTTTCCAATCCTCGCCTTCACATCTGCATCCGGTCCTCCTTGTTTATTAACGATGATTCTCATCTACGTGTGCGTCTCCACTTGATTCAGAGTTTCTGCATCAAGTGTGACTGTGTTGGTATTGTCCGTGTTGTACTTGAGGATTATGCTTTTTCCTTTGTGTATGTTGAGGCTGCTGCTACACTGGTTGTCTTCATCTGCATTTGTTGGTGTGTATGGGATAGATGTTTGTTATCTGTGAAGTCCAAATCGTGTAATTGTATCCAAGCTGTCTATTGTAATCCGTGCTTCGCCTGAAATGTGGAGGTCCTAATAATTTATGAGATTTCCATCTCATAAACGCCTTCCGTACTTCTCAAAATAGCATCACTGCAGCTCTTTATCAGTTGAAAGCGTTTCATTCTTCAATATCAGAGTACAACAGCACTCGACCTGAAACTAATCTTTTCTGTCCAGCTTGCATTCATTGGGTTTCACTTATTACGAGCACCGTCAATTTGTATTCTCTCATTTCCGTAGCTATTTAATTAGTCCTCCCAGTCTCTCACATAATCCGTATGATACACGTGTAATGAACAGAACACTGGTTGGGGATAATCGGATGTATTACAGACTATCTAAGTAAATTATTATAACCAAACAATGAACAGTCAATTTGCAAATTAACAACCAATTGTTTCAATCTTCACTGTTTCTTCTCTTATTCCATTGCTCATGCATTTTCCAAACGATTGCGCTTCATTTCAGTTCTTTGCTCATCGGTCTTCTACCAAAATACATTCTATGTCTGACCCAGACCATATACTACTTATATAGATATAAGTAGACAACACCACACACGGAACTATATTAATTGTTGATGTGCTTGTGAAAAGGGTCATAGGCCTCATGAATTCTGACGAATTTTGGCTTTCACCGTGAAGCGTCATAACTCTTCTTCATGAAGATTCTTCTACTCGGAGGGCATATTTTAAACGCTTTGAAAAATCTTTACTCGTTAGTGTTTTTTTGCACGTTTTTCCAAGTGATGGGGTTGCTAACTACATGTTCGACCTTCCCCCCGTTTTCTTGCACGGTACAGGAAGTGTCCTTGTGACGGCTCTAGTCAACCTTGAAATTTTAAATTTTAAAAAAAAAACGCCTAAGTTTATTCGAATTTCAGTGTTACTTTGAGGAACAATAGTTGTTTCTATATCGCTTTTTAAATATGAAGGCTTTTTGTTTTAACTGATGGAACAGCTCCGTGTGGGTATATTTGCATCATTTTAAAATTATTACCACTATTTCACCATTCCGATCATGGATACAAATTTTCTATATCCTAACTAGTAATCGCAATCGGAAATGAAAAAATACAATTTCATTATCAGACAGCATAATTCTATTCTGGGAGTCAAGGCAAATTAATGGAAAACATCCGATTCCTTAATCGGATCATTCAGGTACGACCTAAAGCCTGTTAAGTATGCACATCAATTCAATTTGTCATACCTCATCATCACAGAGAGATAAAATTATCAGGACTAATCCCAGAATTGTAGAGGTAGTAACAGTGAAAAGATTAGGCCTAAAAGTTACGATTCGAGAAGAAAATATGAATTAGTGAAAAAAACGAGAGACTCAGAGGTTCCGAATTCGGAAAAAGACAAAGATTGGATGCATCTGATCTATTGTAAACGATTTCGAACCATGTCATTCATAGAATCAAACCATTGGTTACAGTAATAAGGAGGACTTCGACCAAGTAGTCTACGCCTACCAATCTGACTCAGTCCAATTTCAATAACGTCATGAACTGATACCTTATTTTTGTTTGGCTGCCTCTGGCTTTCCTCCAACCTGCTGCTACACTAGACAACAATGCTTGTCTAGGTAGGTTGTGGTTTAGAGACAATAAAGATTGAATAATAAGTAAGTAATATTTCATTCACTTAATTTCTGAGATCAGGTTAATAGTTTATTATGTTCATTGTTTATAACTTTCAGTGTCAGATTAAAGTCATGTAGCTTATGGAGTTGAATCACTCGACTTCGAACCTTGAAGTGGCACGACTGAATTTCTTTAATCTTTATCAGAAGGGGGTTTTGTGGAGATTTTAGTAATTTTATTTCGTGGAAATCATGAGTCAATTGAAGCTAGACAACCTGGAAGCACTGGATGGTAGTGCGCATCCACGATCCCGCCTCTCAAGATTCGAACCCAGGACCTACCAGTCTCGCGCCAATCCATGTCAGGTAGAGACAGGTATCTACCTCAGTACAATGGAAGTTGGTCGCGCAATTTCGTGGATTAGTTGAGGTTAAACATCAACACCGTTGGATGTCGGCTCAGTGGTCTATTGGTTAAGTGCTCTGGCGCGAAACTGGTAGATCCTAGGTTCGAATTTCGGGAGGCGGGATCGTGGATGCGCACTGCTGATAAGTCCCACGATAGGACGAAACGGTCGTTTAGTGCTTCCAGGTTTTCCATGGTGGTCTAACTTCAATAGACTCATCATCTCATCTTTAATCTTTATTTGTTTTGAATATTAGCATGGTTTCATCAACTCTTATTTAAAAGGGTTGGATCAAAGTCAATTACATAAGCCTGTATCCGGGAAGTAATTTTTTGTTGGTAATTCGAACGACATTTATAGCAACTTCACTCATGTTGTTTTTCATTGACCTAATATATGGTTTCTTATTGCGATGCAGAGAAATCGTTTAACTTGTTTAAAATTGAGAAGAGTTGTTTAATTGTATTTTGTAATTTATTCTCCCTATAGCCTACACTTAAAAGTTGGACTGAAAGACTAGAAGAGATCAGTAGTGATAGAAGTTTCAAATGCCCTACAATCAATATGGCGACTGCAGTAACTAATGATTATCGTATACCAGGTCGACGTCGTGCTCATACACTTCCTGTGTACTTTTATGAATTTCAACATAGAACAGTTTCATTACCGATGCCCAAATGGACTGGTACAATGCATGGTTATGAAATTGAATATGTTTTCGGTATTCCATTTAGTCCTCAGTTTCAGGCTAGTTTTTATCGATTTACCGATGAAGAACGTCAACTCAGTGATATTATGATGACATACTGGGCTAACTTTGCACGCACAGGGTAAGTTGATTCGTAGAAAGTTGTTTGTATAGTGATTAGTTTGATACTGCTGAAAAAGTCCAGGACTAAATTTCGTTGAACAAAAATTTATCTTAATTAAAACGTAAACTATTTGGTGATGGTCGGAGGTAGTCGACAGGAAATGATGTCGAGTCACCTAGACGAGTGACTACGTTGCAATTTGATCCATAGAATTCGACCTGCACTAAGAAGGAGATAACACAAATACTGTTGGTGACTACCCAAAGATCAACCAATTGCAAAGATGTACACTCCTGATATATGACGCTAAACAAAGAGTCGTGAACTGCAAACATGAGAAAATCGGGCTGGCTTCAGACCTGGTCTTGGATGCACCAACCGCATGCATGCTTATTGACATCCGACAATGATGGTTTTTCTTGACTTGAAAGCAGCATTTGACTCTGTAGACGCAGAGGCTCTATATCAGTGTCTGTCATTGAATGGCTTAACTCAGAAGTACATAAACGCGGATGACATAGTCTTGTTTGATGAAGACGCCAGTAAAATGTAGTCTTCTGGTAGCATTGAGCAACAATGCCAGGATGTTAGCGATGAGTTTCTCCTCCTCTAAATACAAGTTCTTGCTTCAGGACTGGCCTGAGTCAACACCTGAACTAAGGATAGGGAGCGAAGTAGTCGAACGCGTCGACAACTTCACTTATCTTGGAAGTCTGATCAGCCCTAATGAGTTGGTGTCTGACGAGATCTCTGCACCGGTTCAGAAAGCACGTTTGGCTTTTGCCAACTTACGTCACCTATGGCGAAGATGAAATATCTGTCTATCAAGTATACTGCGTACAAGGACAAGTATACTGCGTACAAGGACAAGTATACTGCGTAGTAATTCGCTCTCTTGTACTTTGCGGCTGCGAAACGTGGCCATTAGGAGTAGGAGATAATCGTGAGCTACTAGTATCTGATGACAAATGTCTTAGAAATATTGCTCACATCTACTGGGATCACCGGGTAAGTAATAGTGAGATCAGACACAGGATATTAGGGAATGATAGTAAATCAGTTGTTGAGGTTCATCGACTGAACTGGTTTGGCCACATGTTACGTATGCCTGAACACCGATTACCACGACGCGCTATGCTGACTAGTATTAGAGATGGTTGGAAGAAAGTTAGGGGCGGCCAAACCAAAACATGGCATCAGTGCTTGAAGTCACTAACTTCTAGTCTGAGCCATGTTAGTAGATGCAGACTACCTGGTTGGTGTCCGCGTGACTATCATAACCAATGGTTGGAGACTCTGTGTGACATGGCTCAGAATGGATCACAATGGCGTAGGTGTATAAACTCTTCGTCTTTCCTTAAATTGTGAGATTAGAATTGCTTTATATCTTTTTTTAAATGAACTAATTCTTTCTTCTTGTATTATATCCTTAAGTACAATCTTTCTTATATATATTACCACGATTGAAGCAACTACTTCTGTGAATATGGTGTTCATCTTGTTGTGCAAATGGGGTGTGGTAACTTTGTTTAATTCATATTTGTTCCTGGTCCCATGTTGTAGCTGACTGTTAGACTGGATCATTTTTGTAAATCTACATACTCATTTTATATAACTTAATGATTTATCCTTATTAGTTTTTATTCTGTTTCGAAAGTAACCGTTTTGTTGCAGTTTCATAAGAGGACGTCAGATTATCGGTTTTCAATTATTGGTATTGAATTTTTGTTTTAAGGGATCCTAATATTTTACCAGATGGTCGACATGTGACTGACAATTTAAATCCAGAAGATCCAGATGAAATAACTGGAGATCAGTTAAAAGATTCACTGAGTCACAAACAAGGGAGTAAAAATCCATTCATTGGATGGCCTGAATTCCGAAATAGTACAAAAGCTTACATCGTTTTTCGTTCAGCTCCAGCAAACCTTCTTGTTAGCACAAGACCACGTCACCGTCAATGCTTGTTTTGGCGTCGTTGGTATCCGGCGTTACTACAACAAGGTGATTTGATTATTAAAACATTTTACTTACCTCTATAACATTATTTAATTGTTCAACATTAGAGTCATAAGATATCAGTATTACATAAAATTTAGTTGGAAGTTATGTTGAAGACACACTAGTATAGTATAGCAAAGGTGTAAATAAATTTAATAGACTGAATATTTTCATAGTTCCAATCATGAGTCAATTGAAGCTAAACCACCATCGAAAACCAGGAAGCACTGGATGGCCATTTCGTCCCATCGTGGGACTCCTCAGCAGTGCGCACCCACGATCCCGCCTCGCGAGATTCGAACCCAGGACCTACCAGAGCACTTAACCGATAGACCACTGAGCCGGTATCCAACGGTTAAATGCTCTGGTGCGAGACCGGTAGGTCCTGGGTTCAAATCTCTCGAGGCGGGACCGTGGATGCGCACTGCTGAAGAGTCCCACAATAGAACGAAACGGCCATTCAGTGCTTCCAAGTTTTCCATGATAGTCTAGCTTCAATTGACTAATGATTTCAACTATGAAAGTACTGAAATCTTCACAAAACCCCTTCAGACTGAATTATATAAATATATACCTTATGTAAAAGACTATTCTACAACAGTGATAAGAGTTCAAACGACCAGAAACAAGTGATTACATAATGAGTAAACGCTGATAGAAATAAAATGAGTACAGCTCAGTTAATTAAATAAGAATGCTAATCTTAGAGACAGTTGAAATAAAAACACAATGATGTAATAAATGCAAAAAGAAGCTTTAAAAAATGTTTTAAGATGCGATGAAGTAGCATATATTTGTCACTAAGGCAAGGAAAGATTAATGACCATCACTTTTTGACGCCTGATGGCAAAGGCTTCAGTAAATTTCAGAAGACTGGAGTTTAGCTGTTTCTTAACCACCTTGAAAGACAGCAAGGTATCGACTTGATGTCCTGTATCCAAGAGGTGATTGATAATTGCACTCTTTAAAGTAGTTTTTTCTCTTGGTTCAAGGATTTTTGAGACATGCTCAAAAAATTCAAAATATGCTCTCATTTCTGTTCGGCCAATGTTGCTGCTTTGGCAGGTACATGTAAATTTACAAACGAAGTTGGCGATAGCATAAAAGGGGTGCTTGTTGACCTTTGATTAGGTTATTGAACATGTTGTTTTATACATAATTAGTAGTTTGGCTACTGGGTAAGTTTTGGCTAATTCAGGGTTAAGCCTTCTCCTAATTGTTCTTGCGACGTTATCACCTTTGAAGTTGAAATTTATAGATATTGGCTTTTTATTGACCATAGCCACTTCCGTCTTATTCTCTTTAGGTTTCTTATATTTATCAACACATGGCTGTGGGTAGCAATTGTTTCTTATGCGTTTTTCAACGTTTGCCACTTCTCCCAGTTTATCAGTGGTAATTATCCTTCTTACCCTATAAAATAGTGTTTTGACCAGTACTTTCTTATGACTGACTGGTCAAAAACAATTAAAATTCAGGTACTTTTCCAAAAATCAAACGTTGAACTCTCCCTTCTCTCCTCCTTTTTATGCCAATAACAAGAAAGTGGAACATGTCATTATATCTGTGTTCCATAGTAAATTGTATGTTAGGATGAGCACTATTGAAGAGTTCCAACAGGTAGATTTCATACTGCTCACTGTTGCAGACAGTAAAAGTGTCATCAACATATCTGAAGTATTCTGTCGTTTCATAAATCACTTGTTCGGACTCCGTGTTTTTAAGGTACCCCATAAAAATATCTGCCATAATTGGACCTAATGAACTTCCCATTGCTACACCATCAATTTGATGGTATATGTTGTTATTAAACAGGAATTGAACGCATTTTATGCACAATGACAGTAAATTTTTAGTACTAGGACCAGTAAAGGTAGAGGATCAGAATTCTGACAAATTATATCAATAGTTTCAAAAAGTGGTATCGTGGTGAACAGAGATCTTTTATCAAAAGAAACCATGAACTTAGTAGCAACATTCATATTATTTAGTCTGCCAGTAAATTGGAATGAATCTCTTAACGTATATGTTGCTGATCTCTAACGGACTGGCTCTGGCCTCTTTCCAGTCATAGTGCAACTTAGTGGTACGCTGAATCGATCATTGATAGGATAGGTCTAAGAGGAAAGTCATGTTTGTGAACTTTTTGTAAACCATACATATGATGCAGACGTGAGTCATATGGTCTTAGATCATTTTAAGTAGAATTAGCAATCATTTCCCTTATAAGAAGTTCTCTAAGCATACCTGTTATTCGTTTTCCTGTTGAATCAGTAAAATCTTTGTTTGATTTATCTACCTTGAGTCTCAGTTGATCGTCTAGGATTGACTTCATCTTATTGATATAATCGGCAATGTTCATTAGGTTTAATTTTGAAGTTTTCATTGTTCTTCTGAACAACATCATCAGTACTAACCTCAAGTAGAAGTAAAGTATTAGAAATTATCTACATATGATGAACAGTTAGATCTGTAGAACTTGATTTTGATTGACCTCACGAGGTGAAGTCGTGGATGAGCACTGCTGAGGAGTCCCACAATAGGACGAAACGGCCGTCCAGTACTTCCAGGTTTTTCCTGGTGGTCTAGCTTCCATTGACTCGCTCTTTCAACTATGAAAAGGTGAACTTTTACATTTGTTACAGCGTAAGAACTTCAACAATGTGTCATTTGTAAATGAATAAAGTCATTTACTAGAGGTCAGAATGATTCACTATTAGATATCAAGTTATAATCAATGTAACAGTAATAAAATAAGTCATGTGGACAAAACGTATAGTAGGAGAATTCTGTTACATGAACGGAAATACTAATATTGACGTCGTGTGAATAATGATATGTAATTCTGATAAGATATTCATGTGAATTGATAAAGATGAATATGTTGATCAATAAAGAATCAGGGCATATATGAACTCAAAAAAAATTAGTGGGAAGGGTATCCATATATACCGTTTACTGGGAACCCCCTAGAACTCATGGAATCCTAACGCGGAGTCTCATAGTACCTTTCTAATGCATTTTAATTTTCAATGGTTATTTAATTGTAAACAGTCAGTAATACAAACTACGAAATTTGACAAACTCCGTTTGAATATTTATGCAGATCATTGTAGTGAATAGGTGAACAGTTACCTGATGTGATATCAATACGTTATATTTTGAACACCAAACACTCGAAACCGTAGTACATCGTATTTTATGATAATAACAGTACCAACTGAGTGATATATGTCATCTTCCCGGATTCCCATGCACTCAAGCCACATTACGAAATTGTTCACTTTATGTGTTAAAGAGTTTAGACGTTATTCAGTTACCATGAAAACAAGTAAAACAATAAATCACTCACCTTTTGTGTGAATACCTTTATAGTACCGTAAATAGCTAGGAATAACGTACTTCATCTGATTGCTTAATGTTGCTATTGTAAGGTAATAATAATTTACACATTTTCATCGTTGAAAGCATGAGTCAATTGAAGCTAGACCACCATGGAAAACCTCAAAGCATTGGACGGCCGTTTCGTCCTTCCAGGTTTTCCATGGTGGTCTAGCTTCAATTGACTCATGCTTTCAACTATGAAAATACTAAATCTCTACAAAATCCCTTCTGATAATTAACCTACACATTGTTTAACTATATAGTATCCATTCACATTATTCTATTTTCTTTTTCTTTTATTACTTTTCAGTTGAGCGTAATCGTCAGCATTGTTTAAGCGTGTAAAATTCAACACACATTGATGATGAATTCCTTACTACAAGTATCATCGAATGTCAATAGAGATAACAATGAGAGACAATCAACAAGTGTTTTATAATAACTGATTAGTATATCATAGATTGGTTGTGTGTGTTTGTTTGTTTGGTACTGATACTGCTCAGGAAACTGATGAAAACCTGACTAAATATACATTACTTCATTCAAATACATAAATAGTAGTATATTTAGATCTAAAGAGAATATTCAACCCATCTTACCTAGATGATTGTTGTTTTTACACCTTATTACATATATATATGTAAACGTTTTCAACATTCTATCAAGTTTACATTTTACCTGTTATTAAAAACTTAAGTGATTTGTATGAGAATAATAATTTCAAAACTGTATGAACTAGACTCTGTTAGTTACTTACTTACTTAGTCCTTTTACTCCCAATGGAGAATAGGCCGCCGACCAGCATTCTACAACCAACTCACTCTGTCATGCGTCTTCTTTTCTAGTTCTATCCAATTTTTGTTCATTCTTCTCATGCCTGTCTCCATTTCTCGGCGTAATGTGTTCTTTGGTATTCCTCTTCTCCCTTGACCTTCAGGATCTCATGTGAGGGCTTGTCTTGTGACGCAATTGGTTGGTTTCCTCAATGTGTGTCCTATCCACTCCCAGCGCTTCTTCTTGATTTCTTCCTCCACTGGATGGAATCTGGTTTGTTATATCCCACAGTAGAATGTTGCTGATAGTGTCTGGCCAACGGATCCGAAGTATCATCCGTTGACCACTGTTAATAAACACCTTTATCTTATGGATGATGACTTTCGTAGTTCTCCACGTCTCCACCCCATACAATAGAACTGTCTTGACATTTGTATTGAAAATTCTAACCTTGGTGTTGGTTGACAATTGTTTTGAGTTCCAGATGTTCTTCAATTGTAAATATGCTACTCTTGCTTTGCCGATCCGTGCCCTCACATCTGCATCAGATCCAATGTGTTCATCGATAATGCTGCCCAGATATATAAAGGTTTTCAACTAGACTATGTGCTTAAGGTTAAATGAATCAGGAAATTATCAATAAAAATGTGGTGTTCTCAGTTTTCACAGGGATACATGTTAGTAATAGATATGTCTTATGAGTATTTTCTGGGTATTAGGGTTGATTTTATCCGTTAAAGTGATAGTTGTGGAAATTGGTGGAATTAAGCAGTACAGTAAATGTACACCTGGAAACTTTGGTTTCTACAGTAGATATAATTGTTCAAACATTTTCTACAGCAAACTACTGCATTAAATAATAGAATAATGATGTCATTAGAGACATGATTTCTTGATTAATAGCAGCTGGAATCTAGAGTTTTCACAGATATTTGATACTATGAAAGTTTCCGTGCAGGTTATTCTTGAACTGTATCAGTTTTAGTAGCAAAACGTCATTAAAATATGGTGACGGAAACAAATAAGTCGTTGACCTGATCCTCAGAGAAATGATATCGACGGATGACATGGAGTATTAGATAAAGATAATTGTGATTTGATTACATATGACGTTGGTTTTTACATTAGAAACTTATACTACACTTCATTAACATCACATTTTAGAGTAACAATCAAGATGTCATCCAATGAAAACGGGCTGCTGCCAAATGGGGGGTTGGAAAGGCTAGCGATTAGACAGGGGGAACATAAGTAAAGATAATCATCAAAAATGTGCATATTGATGAAGATGAGCATCGAAAGAGAGAATGAAATTTTAAGAGTATAAAATCAGTTTCAGTCCTCCACTGTCTCTTTGTCTCTGAAATCAATCAATAATTTAGTTCACTAAACATCTAATGGACAGTTTTTATTACTTGCTTACATCTGTTACACCTCGTGGAGGAGAATAGGACACCCACCAGCATTCCCTATCCAACTCTCCTGGATAATCCTTTCAGTCGCTACTCATCCTTTTCATGTCTACTTCCAATTCTCAACACACTGTGTTACTTGGTCTTCCTCCTTTCCGTTTACATTCACGATCCAAATTTAGGGCTTATCTTGTGATGCAATTTGATGGTTTCCCCAAAATATGTCGTATCTACTGTAAACGTCTTTTCCTAATTCCCTCTTCAATTAGAAGCTAGTTTGTTTTCCCCCATAATAGGCTTTTGATGATGGTATCCGACCAACGGAGATTAAGTAATTCAAGCACTTGCAAATAACGTCTACACACGAGGTCTTCAAACCAATGTAGCATTCCGAGAGAATAGATTAAACCAATCATAAAAAAGTGAGCTATCATTAGTTATTGGAATCGAATAAGAAGTTAGTGGAAAACAGGTCTTATAAAAAAATTATGCTTTATGCATATGGGATAGAAGAGTCAGGTCACCTGTGAAGTCCAAATAATCTAATTTCATCCAACCTTTCAATTTTATTCCGTGGATCTCCTCAGATGTGAGGGGTCTTCATAATCCAGTCAACCAACAGAACGAACGGAAAGATGAGAGAGAGAGAGAGATTAGGCAGCCCAATCTGACACCAACTAACATATTAAATGCATATATCTGCTGTTCTTTATGCCCGAATTTGTGGTGCACTCTGTCATATGGATTCCGAATGATGTTGACTATCTTCTCAGCTACTGTGGTGTGGTCTACTTATATCCATGTAAGTAGTATATGGTGTGGGTCAGACATAGAATGTATTTTGGTAGAAGACCGATGAGCAAAGAACTGAAATGAAGCGCAATCGTTTGGAAAATACATGAGCAATGGAATAAGAGAAGAAACAGTGAAGATTGAAACAATTGGTTGTTAATTTGCAAATTGACTGTTCATTGTTTGGTTATCATAATTTACTTAGATAGTCTGTAATACATTCGATTATCCCCAACCAGTGTTCTGTTTACTACACTACTTACTCCTCAGTGTCAAAGACGGTGCCATAAGATTCTCCCATGCACACCGTCAATTGATTTCCCATAGTCTGAGGAGGTCATGTATAGTGAAGAGTTCCATTGAATTGATTACCCAAAAATGAAAAGTAATGTCGTGATTTGGTCTGTGAACGACCGATCCTCACGTAATCCAATCTGTTGAATTCGAAGCTGAGCGTCTTCTGAACCTTTCATCTGGATCAGCAACACTGTTGAAAACATCCTTGTACCGACACCAGTTTGATTACTCTGTAGTTCTCACATTTTCTGAGATCTTTCTTTGGTATCTTGATGAGGTGTCACCTTTTTACAGTCCATCGGCACCCTTTCTTCCTCCCAAATCATCCTGAATAGAACGAGGAGCATGTTTTCAGTTACTTCTTCAGATGATATATTGTCAAGTTGTACTGCTCTCCCATTGTTGATTTGTCGGATGATGGAACATTCTGGTTTCTTCAGTCGTTGACAGATATAGGAAGGTCTGTAGGTACTGCTTCGATGTCCGGTGGGTTCAGTAGGGCCGGTCGTTCCATGAGTTCTTCAAAGTGCTCTATCCGCCTGTTTCTCTGTTCTTCAATCTCAGTGATTGACTTGCCTGCTTTGTCCTTGACTGGCCTCTCTGGTCCACCATATTTCCATGCTTATGTGATGGCGTCCAGTCGTGATTGACTATGATCACCACTACAAGAAGATTACGTGCCAGGTATCGAGTTGGATCTCGTGGCAAGCCAATAACCAGAAGACAGTTAACGGTTGAAATAAGATATATTTGTTGACAATCTCGTGGTTTCTAAAGAATACTGAGACGTGCCAAAGTATACAAACGGAACTGCCGAGTGTAAGCGAGTTCGTCCAAGGACATAGGCAACGGAATGAAAAGGGTTTTTGTGGTGCACTAAAACAAACAAGCACAGTAAAACAATCACTGGTGTAATTGGTTATAATAATAATTGTTTCCATTATATCGATCATGTCCTCGTCACAAAAGTCGGTCACTACACAACTTTATTCGTTGTACCGTTTAGTTTTCTCACATTTCCTTCACTTGCAGGTATTTCCACTGTCTCTTGTAAGTCTTACACGTTTTCGTGCCTGTCGGTTCTAATGTTCCTCTTCAGTCGCTTCTTCGCTTTAGTGTATTCAGCTCGTGGCTTGACTTCCTCAGTCTTTGCTCGACTGTCATCAGTTGCTGTCTCCTTCTTTCTTAGGATCTTGCTCAAGGTTTCCATTGAGATTCCATAGATGATTCTCTAAACCCTTTTCAATTGTCCTTCATAGCAGTTGCTTCTTCTTTGAGTAAATCTTGTAAGAACATGTTGTGGAGATCTATCTTGAATTGGTTGAGTTTGTCAGTATTTTGAAGGAAGTTTGTATTGAACATTTGCAACACTTTTCCCCAACTGTCCAATGCTTCTTTAGCATCAGTTTTCTTCTTGATAACCACCAGGTCGATGGTGATCTAAAGTTATGTTAACTCCTCTCCTGGTTCTCATTTCTTTCATTGACCTTGTTTATATTTTAGTGATGCAAATGTGATCGATCTGTTTCTGTGTGCCGTGATCCGGTGAGACCCATGTAACTTAGTGTTTTCATTTGAGGGAGAGTTACTGAATAGCAAGCTTTGATGGTGAGGGCGATGACTTCCATCAACCCATGTCTTGGAGGAGAACATTTTGTTTGTGTCAGGCCCTTTATGTTTGATAACAATTCAATCAGTCTGTGATATTGAGGTTGTTCTCCTACACTCACCATTCAAACTCGTGTTGCTAATTTTTATGCTAGACTAGGTATTCTACTAAGACAACCTATAACATGCTAACTCGGACTTTTTCACTAAAACTGTATGAAAGGCATCAGATGGAATAAAAAAGAAATTAAGAAAAAAACAATAAGGGATTCAGTAATTATTTTTCTTAACGCTTTACTTTATATATGCACCCTCTATTCTAATAAACAGCCTTCCTTATGCCAACCGTGACTTCTCTTCCTTCATTTGAGCCTACTCTACCTTGATAAATAACACAGCTCATTGTTCTTTATTACGGCACTCCCTCATCTATGCCAGTATGAAGTGAATCAAATAATTTATTATATCTCTGTCTGTTCCACTACTAAATGTTAAGCATTGTTTATCGTTCATATTCAAATGCATCTCTGCTCCTGTTTCGCTTTTTTTCTTCAAAATCTTACACTGAGGGCAAAGTTGAGGAACCTCTGACATCTGGAACAAATTCGACGTACGCGCTTTCCCAAGGTCACAGTTCGCACCAAGCGCTCCACAAGTCTACTTTATAACAACTACCAACCTAAAAAGTTGCATTCCATAAATACTTAGCACGATCGAAATTCTTATACAATTTTTGCCGAGAATGGATCTGTTGTGTAACGTGGACGCGATGCCACGTCGGAAAATATTTTGAGGACTACACAGTATATCTGAATGAATGAACTGTTCTTCGTTTTAATGGATTATATTTACTTATCAACCCTGCTTGGGATGCATACTGTGAAACAATGAATGTTGTAACTTGTAGATCATGCCTGTAAAAATGGCTTGTACCTGCTCTTATAGAAATATATTATTGTACCATCTTGATATGCTTGATGCTAATTAGGATTTTCTCGGCAAACGAACAAAAATCAGTGACACAATGAACGATAGGCTATTCTAATCAGTTGTCCCAGGCCGCGCTAACTAGAGTGAAAAGTCCAAGATTATGTAGGGGGAAATGCATTCCGGAAGCACAAGCAATCACAATAGGAAGAAATCAAACGTATATATACGATATAAAGTTGCCCTTGGGAAGCATTACAAAGTAGCACACTAAAACGATACAACGGACCAATAGCGTTTAAGATATTTCCAAACGGGGAATACGACTCGAAGGTGAAAGGAGCGCTTTTGGCCCGAAAACAAGGAAATTCAAATTTTCAAGATAAAATTACAAAAACAAGTCATTTACCAAGTAAGTTCTGGGGATTTAACATACCTAACACATCTATAACCATTTTGTTGAATGAATGTATATATTTGAAAACCCGTAACCACTCCCGTTCGTTTCTCCCAGCCATTCCATTTCCCCCCACGATACCTTCATACTCGATGTTATTCAATCAATTTTGGCGTTTAGGTCTCTCATTAGGATGATCAGGTCC